AAGGGCTCACTTGTGCAAAAGCCAGGAGAAGCTGCCTCAGGGGCTCATGCTGGGTGAGAGAAGAGATGGGGGTGGGAGACTCCTTGGAGGTTGTGGTAACAGGTCAAGGGGGAAGTAGGAAGGGCTGGGGGATAGAGGCGAGTGGGGCCAGGTAGGTTCCAGGCCTGGGGGGGTGGGCAGCAGGGCACAGGAGAGACCATATCCAGAAGGCTGCTGGGGGCACAGAGTTGGCTGCTGTAGAAGGTCTTGGTGGCATCATCCTCTGACCTCCTCACGCGGGGAAACAGAGTCACCATCAGCAGCCCAAGGCCGATTCCTATGAGGCCAGACACGCCACTACCTTCCAGCCTTTTCAGCAATTCTGACGCCAACCGTTACTCCCATGGCACTCACCACTTCTCTGCTGGGTTCAATAATTTGTTGCAATGGCCACACAGAACTCACAGATGATACTCACGACTATGGGGTTTATTAGAGAAATAACAGGTCCAGGAATGTGCTCAGGATACAGTTCTTCATTCAGGACAGTCTCCCCTCTGCTGTGCCCTCAGACACGCCTCTCTAGCTCTTGGCCTCTCGGCCTGGTCTCTGCCCTGCTCGGGCACGTGTTACAAAGCTCTTTTAGCTCTGTCGATAGGTATACCTCGGTGCACCTCACTCCTCCAGCAAGCCTCCTGCCCAAAGACACTCAGCTTTCTCGCCTGTGGGTCAGGTAAGCCCCCCACTCCGTCTCGTGCCTCTTGGTTTCTCAGCTGGTTCTCTGCCAGGTCACCTCAGCCAAGGAGGTCCAGCACCAGGATCTTAGGTCCAAGGACATGCTCCGCTTCACCTTCAGCTCCTCTGTTGGTAGTGAGATCCCCCCTCTGCCCCTCATTTTAAGCCTGGCAGAGTGACAAAACTCACCAATCCCACCATCAGAGTTCTACACACTGTATTTCCACGGTCCTGCCCAGTAATCCTGTGGGAGTCACAAAGGCTATGGCTGGAGAAGCCACACCAAGTAATTCACTGCACCGCAGCTCTGCTTCACAGACACCCGCTCAGAAGCGCAGAAAGATGCAGCTTCCCAAGGGGCAGGCGCTGAAGGAGAACAAAGGAAGCGGTGGTCCCTCCCAGGAGTCCCAAGGCACCAGCTCCAACATCTGCAGACGACCTCACCCAGCTGTGGTGGCAAGACGGTGACGAAGACAAAAGGCCAAAGACCCAAATGAGGCCAGGAGCAAGGGGCAACCAAACTTCCCTTTCCTCCATGACCATACATAAGGTTGGCAGATGATACTCCTACATATGTATTTGTATGTGCTGTAAGAGTGTCCATATATATAATACAGCTAACAAAGGGCAAAGGTATGACAACTTCTTAGCCACAGCCAACCAATCGCTGAGGGAGCGAGTAGCTGGAACTGTGAGCCCAGGACCATGGTCTCAGGGAATATCAAGCTCAATGGGCATAACGTACTACACCTAAACACTGTTCCACATCCTTCTTTGGTGAGTAGTGACTGAGGTCTTAAAAGCTTGCAAGCAGCCATTTAGAAGTAACAATGGGTCTCTTCTCATGCAGAGCAAAGAAGAATGAAGAAAACCAAAGATGCATGGAAACAAGTAGTTGAAGGGACTAGTGGACCATGTGATCCTCGGTCTATGTGACCATGAGACCAGAAGAACTAGATGGTGCCCAGCTACCACCGTCAACTACTCAGAAAGGGCTCAGTGCAGGAGATCCCAGATGGATTGGGAGAACAATGTGGAATGAAACTTAAAGTCATAAAAAAGATCAAGTTTACCAGTCTGACAGAGCCTGGTGAGACCCCTGAGACTATGGCCCCTAGTTACTCTTCAGGTCTGGAACTGAACTCCCTCACTCCCTTGGCTTTTAGCCAAACGACAGACATATAGGGTGAACATTTACATCAGGTAGATAAACTCCCTAGAATGCTCAATCATGGGAGAGCAGAAGGGCAGTATTTGCACAGAAAGATAGCTCGGGGGCAGGAATGTATAGGAAAGGAGGACACAGGGAGGAGGTAACTATATGAAGGACATGGGGAGAGCTGCTACACTGTGGGGAACTGCAGTCAATGTCATGAAACAAAATGTGTATAAACTGCTGTATGGAAAATGAATTTGTTCTGTAAACTTTCATGCAAATCACAATAAAAATTTACAAAGAAAAACCCTCCCTTTCCTATTCCATCAGCTGGGAAAAGGGAGCATGTACTAGGGACATGGAGTCACGTGGGATACCGCAGACGGCTGTTCCACTCCAGGCTCAGTCCCCTTCTGACGACAGCCTAGCCCTCTGCATCCAGGAGGGCTGGAGGGCCACATGGGAACATGCTCTGCCCCACCCCCCAACGCCACACCCCTGTCCCTCCATCCCCCCAGGCTCAGACTGAGGGGCTCTGGTCCCTTCTCTCTGTACAAAGCCAGCGTTCCTTCTTTCTGCCCTGCTCCTCCAAGATCCTGCCCCCTCCTTGGCGGGTCCCTCTCCCTCTCTCTCCTCTGCAGAGAAACACAGAACGCCTCTGGGTCTTCAGCCCTGACACCTCCCCCTCACGCCGCAGCCCCTTCTGGCTACTCCCCACCCCATCCTCGCTTCCCAGTGAGGTTTCCTTTCACTGTCTCTTATCTTCCATTCACTCTTCCACCCATGCTCCCACCATCCCAAAAAGAGTTCCCACTAATGTGGTTCATGATTCTTATCATGCCAACTGCAGGGGACATTGCCAGTTCTTATTTCACTGGTCCGCCGTCACCTGGGGAGCTCTGGTAGCATAGTGCCTAAGGCACTTGGCTGCTAACCAGAAGGCTTGTGGTTCAAACCCACCAGCCACTCCTCGGAAGGAAGGTTGGGCAATCTACTTCCGTAGAGATGTTGTTGTTGTTGTTGTGTGCCGTCGAGTCGGCCCGACTCATAGCGACCCCTCCTTGGGTTTCCTAGGCAGTATCACTACAGAAGTAGATTGCCCCATCTTCCTTCCGAGGAGTGGCTGGTGGGTTTGAACCGCCAGCCTTCTGGTTAGCAGTCAAGTGCCTGAGCCACTATGCTACCAGAGCTCAAAGATACTGCCTCGGAAACCCAAGGATTCGACTCGGCGGCAGTGAGTTTGGTTTTTGTTTGGTGCTGTCACCAATACAAGGAGTACTTCTCAGAAGCAGCCCCTCCCAGTATCCCCTGTGCGCCCCACTCCTTTTCTGCTCTGCCCCTCCATTGCTCATCCTTTCTCAAGGTACCAATTATCCATTTGGAGAAGGCTGCAGGAAGCAGGAATTTGCCCTTGGATGATGTCTTGGTCCTCTAGTGCTACTATAACAGAATACCACAAGCAGCTGGCTTTAACAAACAGGAATTTATTCTTTCACAGTTTGGGAGGCTAGGAATCTGAATTCAGAGTGCTGGCTCTAGGGGCTGGGTGAAGGCCCCTGAACTTTGGGCTTCAGCTCTGCCTCTTGTTCCAGGCCCATGGAGTGGGAGGCTTCTCCTAACTCATGCAGCTGCTGGCTTCTGAGGCTGAAGCACTCAAGGTCGGCAGATAAACTGGCACAATCCCAAGACTGGCAAGCAACATGGTAGGCCACCGGTTCAAGTCCAAGAACTGGAGATGAAGACTCCAAATGCCAAAGACAGGATCCACATGTGCCTTTAAAAAGCTAGAGCCCTTTCCCAAAGCATCTCCATATATACTGGGAGCTGGCCACACCTGTAAGGTAACTCCTCTTCAACTTCTTAGCTGCTCACAGCAGATTCCACCATGGAGGTGATTACAATCTCATCATGGAGAATAACTACATGCAACTGTCCAGCCACTCAGAACCATGGCCCAGCCAGGTTGACACACTAAGGACCAAGAGGAGGGAAGAAGGCCAAGAGGCAGGGTGGGCTGCGTTGGCATGAAGAGAGCAGAGAGAACCTTACTGGAAAGGGCGTTAGGCAAGAAAACAGACCCACAAAGGCATGTTCCTCATAGGGTACTGAGCTCCCTTCTTTCAGCAGCATTTGACCCTACAAGCATAAGGGGGTGGGCAACCAAACGGCCCACCTTGCCCTCTCTGGTTCCCACTTGACTCTTCTCCCCTAACATGCTGCTCAAGCTCTCTTCCCAGACTCCAGCACCTGCCTTTGTCTTACCACCCCTTAGTTTCTTGCCCGGCCTGCTTTCTTTCTGGATATACGCACCCTAGTCCTCCAGCTTCCACATCTAGAAGCCAGAGAGAACGGGTTTGTGTTAGGCTAGGGTTCTCTAGAGAAGCAAAATTGGTAAAAATTATATATTGTTATATGCCGTTGAGTCGGCCCCGACTCATAGCGACCCCTCCTTGGGTTTCCGAGGCAGTATCACTACGGAAGTAGGATTGCCCAACCTTCCTTCCGAGGAGTGGCTGGTGGGTTTGAACCATCAGCCTTCTGGTTAGCAGTCAAGTGCCTTAGACACTATGCTACCAGAGCTCCTAAAAATTATATATATAGAAAAAAAAATATTTTAGGACAATGGCTCACACACTTATAGAAGCTGGCAAGTTCCATGTTCTTGGATCGAACATCAAGCTGGATGCTTTTCCCAACTCACGCAGCTGCAGGGGCTAACGAGCTCAAGTTGGCAAGCAGTATACCGGCTGTTGACTCCAACGCATGACGAATCCAAGATCACCAGGCCAAATGGTGTTAGCTCACAGCAGCACAACAGGATCCCAATCCACATTTTCCCATCATGTCCATAAAATATTGGAAGCAGGCCACACCCCTAGGGAAACTCTCTTTCAGTGGATTGGCTGCTCAAAACATACATCTGATCTCATCATGGAAATAGCCCCCATCAGAACTGCTCAAACCACTCAGAATTGTGGTCCAGCCAAGTTGACACACAGCTCCAACCATCACAGGGCTGGTTCATTTTAGATCTGTCCAGGAGACCCTCACTGCCCCGCCCCATACACAACACTTTGGTGTCCTAACCCCGGTTACATAACAATCACAGTCCCTCAGCTCTGACATCACCCACCAACCCCGACAGCCAGGGGTGACTGTGTGTGGCTAGGGATGATGGTGGGGAACACGTCTGATGGAACAGCCAGGAACTGGTAAGGGGGGGGGGGCGGCACAGCGACTGTCAGGTCGCAGTAAAAGACTGTAACAGTGGTGGTCCTGAGAGGAAAGAGGAAGTATTTGGGTTTTTTAATTCCCCTAAGTTCCCACAAGATTTCCTTGTTACTCCACACTTCCCCTCTGCCCCACACAGGGAATTTCCGATTTCACTTCTTCAAAACCCCAGTGGCCAGAGGGCCTCCACTTCCTGTTTAAGCCCCGCCCCCTAGTTGCAGCCTCTTCCAGGAAGGCCTCCTCTCCTCCCCACCCAGGTACAGGTCATTCACGTCCCCCTTTCTTTGTGTCCATCGCCCACTCCCCAGCACCGCTGACCTGAGAGCGGGTCAGGCGTCTGGCTGCTGGTCCCCCTTTCCTCCTCAGCCTTCTTCTGTCTCGCCATTTTTCTTTCTCTAGTTACCACCCTGCCTTGGATTCTCCACTCCCTCAGCTTCCTCTATGACCCCTTCTTGTTTCTCCATCTCGCAAAGCATTTAAAAGATGAGGGATGAGAGACTGTGTTAGGGAAGCAGGGGCAAGATGAGGCAGCAAGAAAGGATGGTGCAGGAAAGGACAGGTGTCTTAGGGTCTTTTGACATGTCTAAGGGTTCTTCCGGTGGAAGATGGAGGCTCAAACTGGGTCAAAGTGGGGATGGGGTGAGTTCTCAGAGAACTGAGGTGTCTAACTGGGTGCCTCTCGAGGCCAGGCAGCAGGGTGGAGGAGTCTACGGGCGCTAGAGGGCGGGCCCTGGAACTGCCTCGCGCCGGACTCCCACTTCCCGCCTTACCAACCGCAGCACTTCCGCGAGCTGCCTCATCAGGGGCGGGGTGAAACAGGTGCGGTTGCCACGGTACCAGACATGGCGGCCCATGGCCGGGAGCGGGGGGCAAGCGCGACTCGCGAGATTTGGAACTGGCCAATAGGAGGCGGGGGAGGGGAGGACGTGACTAGAGCTCGTGGGCGGAGACGGGATAAGGCTCCTCCCCCACCCTCCTAAGTCCCCGCTGCGCCGCACGGCGGGGGCGCGCGCTCCGGAACGCGGGGCCCGGCCTTATAAAGAGCGCACGGCGCAGCGCGCGCTCCACTCCGCAGAGGGCGCCTCCGCGGGCCGTGCCGTGCGCCTGCGTAGTGTGGGCTGCTCCTGCCCCCGGCCCAGCCGCCGCCCCTTCCCCGGCCGGCCCGGCCCCGCCTGGACTCCGGCCCTCACCCTGCTCTCAGCCGCCGGTCTGCCCGCAGCAGCCAGCCCCGTGTCCGGAAGCATGTTCAGCTGGGTCAGCAAGGATGCTCGCCGTAAGAAGGAGCCGGAGCTCTTCCAGACGGTGGCCGAAGGGTTGCGGCAGCTCTACGCGCAGAAGCTGCTGCCCCTGGAGGAGCACTACCGCTTCCACGAGTTCCACTCGCCGGCGCTGGAGGACGCCGACTTCGACAACAAGCCCATGGTGCTCCTGGTGGGCCAGTACAGCACGGGCAAGACCACCTTCATCCGCCACCTGATCGAGCAGGACTTCCCGGGAATGCGCATCGGGCCCGAGCCCACTACCGACTCCTTCATCGCCGTCATGCACGGCCCCACCGAGGGCGTGGTGCCCGGCAACGCGCTCGTCGTCGATCCGCGGCGCCCCTTCCGCAAGCTCAACGCCTTTGGCAACGCCTTCCTCAACAGGTACTGCCCCCCCTGCTTCCGGGGTGCGGGAAGGGGCCCGGGGCCTGGACAGCGCACTGGGGCCCTGACCTGACCCGTTCGCGGCCGCCGCCCCCACCGTCCTTTGTTTCGGAGGCCCCGTTGGGACCCTCAGCGACCACTCCCTGGGACAGGGGCCCTTGTCTCGTCCCAGAGAGAGCCCACCCCGGAGGTCTGGGAGGGGACGTCGCCGGCTCCCCCGGCTTCTACCGCCCCCAGAATTGTCCGAGTCATCAGTTTAACTACCAACCCGTTCCGCAGACCCCAGCCCTACTTTGCTCGGAATCGAGGGCCCGCATTGGAAAGGTGACATTCCTGCCCTCCGTTTCTTGCTCTCCGCCTCCTGCCCCCAGTCTTGGTCTTCCCCAGGAGGGTTGCACCCAGTTCATTCATATCTCTCCCCTCCTCCCCCGTGGCTTCCTTCAGGGGTCTGTTTTCTTCACTGTTGGGGAAAAACACGATGTAACTTACAGCTCTTCCCTAGGCTGGTGTGGGGTATGTCTCTGCTGTGCCTCTCCTAGGGCCCTGGTTTGTGGAGGGCCAGGGAGGTTCTGTTGTGGCTTGCGCACTCAGGGAGCCCCAGTGCAGACAGATGGGGAGCATGGACGCTGCTCCCAGGGACCCCTTCCAAAGGCTGTGCCCTGCGTGAGGCAGTAGGACGCAGGAGTGGGATCTAGGCCCTAAGTGCCTCTTAGATCCTCTGGGAGGCTCCTTAACCTCTTGGGCCTCAGTTTGCCCAGGTCGGTGGGTGGAACCTGTCTGCTCACGATGAGGGTAGTCTTCCAAGATTCTCATCCCCACGGTGGGTGCTGTGAATGGAAAGCTGTGGTCCCCTGCTTTTTTTCCTGTAAAAAAAACTCAAAGGCATTTCTCAGTGGCCCCCAGTCTCCCTTTGTCCCCGCAGGACAGACCGCAGGACTTCATAGCTCCTGCCCTCTCTCCCAGCCCCCTTTCAGGGAGTGACTCCACGTGTCTTTCATAGTCTCGAGCTGGGGAAGAGCCAGAAAAGAATCCTGGAGTCGCGCTGTCCAGGTCTCCGCCCTGTAGGATCGCATTCCTCTGCAGATGTTGTCCAGCCCCACCAGGCGGGCCGGCCTGTCTGTCTGCAGGCCGAGCCAGTGGCCGGCCTCCACAGGGCACAGGGCTGACCTTTCCCAGAGAAGACCAGCGGGCTCCTCCTTGCCTCTCTGCCCCTTCCAGGTGTTTATGCCTGCCCCATTTGATGATGGTTAGGTTTGTGTGGCATGGCCAGAGTGGAGAGAAGCCTGTGGCGGAGGCCGCAGCAGAGAGGCAGGTCCACTCGGCCTGGTTTAGCGTCATCGGGCCCGTGGAGAGGCAGTTGGCTGAAACAGTCAGCTGGTGGGAGCCTTCCATCTGGTGGGAAGAAGTTCTGGCTCCCGGGTTCATTCCAAGTTGGCAGAATGTTTGGCAACTAATAGGGATGCCAGGCACTCAGGCTCTGCTCTCCCCAGAAGTGTGAGAGTCCGGAAGGCGGGTTAGCTCCACCCGCCTCTGCATGTCTTTAGAGCTTCACTTTGGACTCAGGGGAGAGGCAGGGCACCCCAGCTGCTTCCGAATCTGGAGACCTAGAGTTTCAGAGCTGGGACTGACCCTAGGCATCGTCTGGGCAGTCCTCCTCCTCCTTGGTTGAGGAATCTGAGGCTCAGAGGGCTCAGGTGACTTGTCCAGGGCACACAGTGGGTCATTGCAGCCCCAAGCACCTGGCCTTGGAGCAGCCAGTCACTGCTCACCACCGCTTCTACACGCAAAAGAGCCGGTAGGAGTGCTTGGTCCGTGGCAGCCACTTGGATGACCACAGGAGCCAAGCACCACGCTGTTATGTCCCTCCTGCCACCACTGTACCTCCAGGGGGTCTCTGGCCGCTAACAGCCTGGCCCTCTCAGTCCTGGGGGGGGATGTGTGTGTGGTGGTTTTGGATCGCTCGTGCTGTGTCAGGATGTGTGGTGCATGGTGTCGTGGGGGAGGGAGGGCACTACAAAGGGGGCTTTTCTCTGGCTGATACAGCCTCTCCCAGGCTCTTAAAGAGACCCATTGAACCATGAACTTGACTTTCCGGCTTTTAAGCCCAAGCGGCTGCTCTGAGAATGAACTCGGCCGGGCCTGACCTAGGCAGAGTGTAATCGGCGTGTCCTTATAGCGTCTCGTGAAAACTCCTCATTGCATAACGTGTGCTGCCCACTTGGAGGGAGAAGAGCGAGCCCCTGAACCCTTGGGGGTGAGCAGGCAGGATGGGGCCCATCCATACGGCCCGCTCGCGGCCTTGTCTTCAGCCGTTCATCTCTTGAGTCTTGCAGATGGAAACTTGCCCTCCAGGCTCCGTACAGAGCTTTTTGATGGATGTGACTTTGCCAAGGCAGCTCTCCCTAATGTCCTTTTATTTCACCTTCTTCCTGGTGCACAGCCATGGATGGCACGCAATGGCCCACTGGTGCTCGTAAGGACAGGGTCCAAGGTTTGCTCGCCCCGTGCACGGGTCAGCTGATTTTGCTCTGTTGGCGCTTACAGACGGCACCTCTCACCCTGGCCAGCTGCTCCCAGCCTATGAGTGACTAGTCACTTGGAGGGTGGGGCCGGGAGACTATCAGTTCAGGTTGCACCCCATTGTTGGACAGGCAGCGTTAAGCCTGTGTCCTTCAGACAGTGCATCAGTGTATTCTTTGCTCACAAGACCGTTTTCAGAGAATCTTTTTAAAGGAGTCTCTTGTGTCCCATAGAGAGTCCCAGATATCGGTCTGAACAGCCCCTTCTGGGTCTGAGCTGTTGTAAGCTCGGTGTGTGGCTCAGACACAAGGAAGCCCTCGTCAGTGAGTCGCTGGCCTCCTGGGGCTTTGTTCTCGCTCAGCCGCTTTGATCTTCAGAGAATGGTGTGTCTGTGCCTCCCCACCCTACGACCCACCAGCCTGTGGACCCCCCTCCTGGCTGTTACTGGTCACCCATTACTGTCCCTTCACCCTGGCCGCTGGGCAGACAGGGCGGGCTGGGCCTGGCCCCGGAAGCAGTAGGAAGGGGCCATCTCTCTTTGGTATGTGGAAATTCAGCCAAGTGGTGGAATATTGCAGCATTGAATTCCAAGACCCCGGTGTCACCCTCCTGTTTCCCTTCTGAGTTAAAGGGTGACTGAGGCTAGTGGAATTTTCACCAACAAGTCAGCAACTTGAAGGTTGACCTCTCGAACTCTGAGGGAAGAGCTGATGGCGGGAAGTGCTGATGTGGGACCCTTTTAGGCTGTTGGTTGGTTTCCCAGTTCAGAAAGTCTGTGCGCGTGCTGGCCCCCTGGCAGCAAAGAGGACAGCAGCGGCCTTTAAGTTGCTGGCTTCCGGAAAGGAGAGCAGAGGTGGCGATGAAGGCGTGCAGAAGGCATGGTAGTCGCGTGTGAGCAGCAGGAACTTGGCCTTGACCCGCCTCTTCCTGCCTCTTGCTCCCTGCAGGTTCATGTGTGCCCAGTTGCCTAACCCCGTCCTGGACAGCATAAGCATCATCGACACGCCTGGAATCCTCTCCGGAGAGAAACAGCGCATCAGCAGAGGTAACCGGCTACGGCGGCCGCCAGGGCACCCAGTCTAGCCAGACGGCTGCTGTTGGAGGTCTGGGGTTTCCTTGCAGCTTTCTCCTTGCCCTGGGCTCTTGTCTGCAGTGTGCCCAGGTGAGAACCCGTTGGACGGGAGCCTTTTGTCTCCGCCGTGCTCTGAGCCCAGGGAGCCAGGAGCCCTTCCTTCTTGGCTCCCGGTGCTAAGAGGAGCGTAAGCGCAGTTCAGGCAAAGCCGCGGCTGGCCTTGCGGGGTTCTCGTACTTCTGGGACACGCTGGCAAGGGCGGTGGCCCCGGGCCCCGGGCCCCGGCCTGGCTGTGAGCTCAGCAGGGATGGCTCCGTAGCTGCGCTCCGTGTATAGCTGGCAGCTGACGGAGAGCGGGCCCCAGCTCCAAAACTCCGTGCCTTCCTGGTGAGTCCAGCAGCACCACGAGAGCTGCCAGGGGGATCTTGCGCAAGTCTGTGAGACATGGAGAGGCTGATGGAAGTTTGCTTAAAAGGCGGTCAGCAGCAGCCCCCGGTGCTGTGTGTGGTGTAGGATTTTCACACTGAGTGTCGGCGCACCCAGGAGTTCCCGGGTGGCGTGGTGATTAAGCGCTCAGTGGACAGGCTGGCAGTTCGAACCCAGCCCAGGGTGTTTCAGAAGACAGGCGTGGTGGTCTCCGTCCAAAAGGTCCCAGCCTCGAGAACCCTGTGGGGCAGTTCCACTCTGTGCACGTGGGGTCGCCCTGCGTCGAAACGGACTTGACAGCAACCAGCAGCAGCAGTGCGCAGGCGACGGGGCGTCTGTCCAGGTCTGCGCAGGCCCGCTCCGGTGACACTCCGG